TATGACCTTGTGCTGGTCAAATTGACAATGACCTATGACTGGTCGAAAAGACAATGACCCTTGATTGGTCAAAATTTAGATGACCACCGACTGGTCGAAATGATAGTTACCTTGATTTGTTGTGAGAAAAATAAACATTGACCTATGACTGATCCAATTGAGAATAGCCAATTACTAGTCCAAATGAAGATGACACAAGGCTGGTCGAAATAACCAATACCTGAGATTAGTCAAAATAACCATGGCCCATGACTTGTCCATATATACCGGTTCGGTATATATTTAAAATTATCGAAAATTTAGTAGACCGAACACGAAATGACTGTAGCTTATGTTCGATAGACATGAAAATTACCTATGACTGGTCGATATGTACTGATTATTTATACATGTTATATACTTTATATTCTAAGACAGTACAATTAAGACTAAGCTTTGAATAAAAAGGTTAATAAGAAATGATACAGATTGATTGCAAGAACAACAACAACAACAAAAAAACAATTCAACTTAATTCAGAATATGTCTTAGCATGATTTCATTGAGTTTTGAAATAAAGATTTTAAAAATGAATGGTTATAAAGAATGTATACTTAATGAACAAGTTGTATGACTATTAAAAGAATGCATGTTTGACAGGACGTTTACGTCATGTGCCCTTTTATGTCCTGGTTGCATAAAAATGTGTGATGAGTTCAGTAAAATGTCTGATGAGTTCAGTGAGAATATATTCCGCTGGTTCCCATATTTTCTCTGTATAACCATCCTATTTTTTTGGGGATGCCACAGATCTCATACGTATTGTTTTGAACATTGTCTCTTGCAATGCATTATCAGAAGCATCAGTATCTGTCACTTCGTCTGGAATGTTTACTTGTTGTTCTTCTTGTTGATATTATCGAGGTTGTAAAATGTTAGGTGGCATCATGTGTATTGGATCTAGACGAGGAACATCATCATATGGTGCACCAAGGTCTGGTCTATGGTCAGGAGGATGATATAGTTTAAGTCTTTTAGCATTTATCATGCATTTGCCCTCTTTGTTACTTCATCTTCTGAGTTTGTATGTGCGATGTGGGCCTTTATTTGCATTTTAAAAAGCACCATCAAATTTCCTATTTAGCTTGGAGGACAATCCTATAGGAACCTTTTGGGTATATAGTAAGACTTGATATTGCAATTCAAAGGTAGGCATTTCAATATTTTTGTCATAATGCAATTTTTATATTCATGTGCATGTTTATGGTTCCCAGTTGTATGGTGCTGGCTATCATTGTGGGGACGATTTCTAATTATCTAACACTAACATAACAAACAACAGCTATTCAGTTTGACGTTTTACTTGTTACTAGCAAAACAAAAGCTAAGGCTAAGGTTGTCTAACTAATTTTTATATGATGTACTTGATTTTAACTGATAGTAGGTTTGCGAATGAGACTTGTATCAAGTGGAATATTCATCGCCTTGCCAAAACCTAGATAGAAAGGACTGAACTCGGAAGAAGCTGAGGGAGTAATCTTACAAGCCATACGAATGCCTGGAAGAGGTTTGGGCCAGTTGAGCGGAATTTTCATCCACAAGAATGCGCATGCACTGAATTATAGTTTTATAATTGCGTTCTGCAACAGAATTAGTTTGTGGATTGTAGCTACTACTAAAGAGTGTTTGGAAAAAATATATTTTGTTGATTGCAGCAACTAGTAAAGTAAGTAAGCTTAAGTCAACTGGCAAAACCCAGACTTTGGTCTGTAACCGTAAAACGTTTAAACCCGCTGCATTTGTATGCATCTATTTTAAGTCAGGAGCCTGTTGTTCAGTGGTTGTCGTTTGTTGGTGTGGTTCATAAGTGTTTCTCGTTTCTCGTTTTGTATACAGATTATTTATGTTGTAATGTTATACAACTGTTTCGGGTTAGTGAGAAGATTGCAATTGGCGCCTGTTAAAACGTGTAAACCCGCTGCATTTGTATGCACCTGTCCTAAGTCAGGAGCCTGTTGTTCAGTGGTTGTCGTATGTTGATGTGGTTCATAAGTGTTTCTCGTTTCTCGTTTTTATATAGATTAGACCGTTGGTTTTCCTGTTTGAATTGTTTTACACTAGTCATTTGGGGCCCTTTATAGCTTGATGTTCGGTGTGAGTCAAGGCTCCGTGTTGAAGGCCGTACTTTGACTTATAATTGTTTACTTTTTACACATTGTGACTTGGATTGAGAGTTGTCCCATTGGCACTCATACCACATCTTCTTATTTATATAGACCGTTGGTTTTCCTGTTTGAATTGTTGTACACTAGTCATTTTGGGGCCCTTTATAGCTTGCTGCTCGGTGTGAGCTAAGGCTCCGTGTTGAAGGCCGTACTTTGACCTATAATTGTTTACTTCTTATACATTGTGACTTGGATGGAGAGTTGTCTCATTGGCACTCATACCACATCTTCTTATTTATATATGCAACTTCCAAATCTTGAAAAAATTTCTCTGTGTAATTTTTTAGATTTTCTTCTGCACTCACAGTTCGCACTGAAAAAGCTTGTCCATTTACTAAAAGAATCAACTATGATAAGGATAACATGGTAATATTCTTTTGTATTTGCCTGACATGACACTATCATATCCATGTGCTATCTGGAGAAGGTGTCTTGTATTTAGCATGATTGTGAGTGAAACTCTTCTAGCAAGTGCTGTATTTTTTTTTGGTTTTTTTTTCGCTCTTTGGCATAGATCACAGCCTCTGATATAGTCAGCAACAGCTTGATACATACCAGGAAAGTAATACTGTTGTTGCATTGCAAAATAAATCCTGTCAAACTCAAAATGACCTAGATTGTCGTATGAAACAAGCAGATTATTCCTATATTTTTGTGGTAGTGCCAACTGTTTTATAAAGCGGTCTTTGTGATTTTGTCCCTTAGAAAGTGGTTGAGAAAAAAGATACAGGACCCCATCTTATAGGCAATATTGTTGGAGTAAAATAGTTAATTTACAAAAAGTAAAATTACAAAAATACCGAACTCCAAGAAAAATTTAAAACGGAAAGTCCCTTAACAAATGGCAAAATCAAAAGCTCAAATACATCAAACAAATGGAAAACCTGACTTGGTACAGGCATTTCCTTATGTAGAAAATGGCGGATTAAACATGGTGTTATAGCTAGCTAAACCTCTCACTTGTATGACAGTCGCATAAATTCTATTATATTGACAACAATGTGTGAACAAACAGACATAATAGGTAAAAATGTTCAAAGACTATTCATTAGAAAACATTGCGTTACGCAAGTTGCCATTTCCTGGCATGAGATCCATATCGTTCCAAAATTGCTTGGACGTTTCTGTTATACATCGTTCCGAACTTAAGTTTTTGAAAAGTCAAATCCATGAATGTAGAATCACACACAGAAAGGATATTACAAAATTGCAGGATCAACTAACAGAGTTCGAGCGTGAAAGCAATTTGAAGACTCAATTCAACATCCAAGAACTATTCATGAACATTTAGACAAAATTTCTAAACTTGAATTCAAACTTAGTGAAAGTGAAAAGTGTTCAATTAATAACAGTTGCTAACAAGCAAACTCAGTCATAGATCATAGAACAAGAAGAAAAACACAACAACAAAAAGGACAAACTTGTTTGGCATAGCGATGAACTTTTTAAAACAATCCAGATCCTATAGGCTGAAAGTAGTTGATTAAAAATTAATTCAACCACAGAATAATGGTCAATCAACAAAAATCAACATACATTTTTGAGAGAACAGACATTATCTTACAAGATAGTTTTATTTGACCCACTATTAAAGCCCCGACTTGACAAATGTAAAACAATTCAAACGAAGAAACTAAAGCCCTGATGTATGTACAAAACACTTTAAAAGAAACACTAGGTATAGGCAAGCGGGGTTAAACATGTTTGCAGGCGCAAAACACTCCTCTTTCCGGGGACAGTGGTGTTACAACACAGCATACAAAAATCATTTGAAAAGGCTTTACTCATTAGATCGACACAAACCACACTAAAACACGACAGACAACAATAGAATTAACACACATAGTACCGATTTGAGAGTACTTGCAGTTACTGAAAGCTAGTTCCAAGTCAATAACAACTAATAAAAAAACATATATTCAAGATTATTGTCTGTTTTTCTTTCACTTAGTACTTTTATGATTGTTTTTATTGTCTCCGTGGTATTTGCTCGGGTTTGTTTGTTTTAATTTTTTTTTTTTATGCTTTCACAAACTTTCGAGCATTCTATGTAAAATGTTAAACAAACCCCTTCGAAGGCTAATAACGATCAACTTTGATGAACTATTCATGTTAGATTTTCAATCTTGTTATTAATGACTGAAGAATACATGCTTTTCACCTAAACGTAACCAATTTTGATAATGTTGCCTTGACTAAACTATATAGTTGGACAAACCTATTATTTAAAAGTTCTACGTCATCCAGAAAAAAAAACAGAACTTTAATTCTTCCTGGTTATATCGTTGAAATTGTAAATTGTGGTATTTTACTTGGCGTGTTTGTCCTTCTCTATCCCTTTATGGACTCCTTGAGTTTGAAATGGCTGGTCTGATTAGTAATTTTGTTTTAGTTAATAGAACAAGATATAGTTTATGAAATTAGATCGTCCTAGGTAGAGTAGACAATTATTTTACGTTGAATACCAATGAAAACTGCACAAGAACAATTTTAAGATCTGAAGAAAAAAAATCTCATATCAACAATACAACAGTATTTTTTTACTTTAACTACCTTCAGTTCAATACTCCAGCAGGCGACCATATTGACGTTATCCTTGTTTTAGTATTTCTCCTGTAATCAGTATGTCGTCAATTACACGGCTTACTTTCATTTGAATAGCAAGAAACTAGGTATAGTTAACCTTTGACGTTCTTGCTTTTGGGGTTCTAATTCATGCGAGTCATAACATCTCTAATTTTGTTTAAAGATCTCACGTTTTGAACGAAATTGGCGCATTTGAACACAAAGCTCCTCATTGTCATCATCTTTTAATTATCCTTTTTCCATCAGGAGTAACATTCTGATTAAAAAAAATATTTCACATAAAAGTGGTGAAAACCATTTCATAGTAAAGGTATCGACGGATAAAAGTCAATAAAAACATTACTCCATACACAATTTCTATATCAATATTAGAATTGTCAGTTATTTAATTCAAAAAGTTTCTGATACGTCTTTAATCAAAAACAAGCAGATAGGACGTACATATTCATGCTGCTTTTATCTGACAACAACCAAGTCTTCCACCTGCATTTCCAGTTTTCAAACTTCCTGCATCTCCCCCTCTTCCTAAATCATCAACACCAGCATGAATCTACAAATTTATACTTTAGATATTACAACAAAGAAAATCAGCAACCTATCAACATATATTATGCAAATAGTTTTTTCTTTGCATTAAGCACAATTCATATCTGATACACACTTTGATTTGATTTCGTTTTGTCCGCCACATCCCGAGGTAATTCAATACGTGGTATAGAAATAGGAGCCAATTTCTCCGAAAGATTTGTATTAATCATACAAGAATTGTACGTTTGGCTGTGTTGTATTTTATGTATAATTACACCTTATATAAGAATGCCGGATTTTGATTGGTTGGTAGCAAGTGTGCTTTTCGTATATTCTAACCTTTTTTCCTCATTTCAAACGAATTTGCCTGTTTTTCACCACTACCGGTGAATATGCCTAAAATTCCCCTCTATGCCGTGGTATTTGCCATTTTGGATATTCCTTTTTTACCCTCGCGGGCCTCTTCCCGCCAAAATTATTCGGAACCTTTCCCGCAGTTATCCCGATTATCAAGACAACTATCCTGGTTCCCGGTACTACGTTCCAGGTATTAGCTAAAAGCCATACGCTGTCACGAGGTATATGTGTAACATACTGAATATTGCGACCGGGAACCAGTCTACAAGACAACATGATTAAGCAATATTGATTGATAGAGGTAATCCGAAACCTGTAAACAAAACTGCCAAACTCCGAAACAGTGGTGACATCTGGCTACGCTTCTTTAAAGAGAAAGGGAAGTATGACCCGAACGATAACGGGAATGGAGTTTGCAAAAATGCCAGACAACACGACTGCACGGCACCAATCTCGTGATCGTATACTAGTATTGAAGAATGCGTTGTGTATATAAAGTGGAAAAAGACGTCTATACAAATGAACGATTTAATGATGGAATGACAATGACGTTTACACATAGATACCATGACGTTACATAAAGACAGCGATAACGCGTATATGTACGTGTTTAATTCCCGCGGTACTATGATAGTCTCTACTTATTCTCAAAATTATGCATCAACATGTTTACAGCTTACTAGTAAAAAAAATGTCCTTTCACCTGTACATAAAGTTTCAATCAAAATCTATTCGGTGTAATTAAACAGATATATCATGTTATGGAGGGGTATTTGCGAAAAATACCAGTCTTGGGACCAAATTTACCTCACCTAGCGGCTCGGGAAATTTCACAGTCCCTTGACTGGTATTTTTCGCAAATACCCCTCCATAACATGATATATCTGTTCATTATTTTTCAACTTTTCATACTTATTACACCATGAAATGGGTTTCATTGAGTTAAGCCATTTCAAATGATATTTCATAGTGTGTCTTTCTATGTTGTGATGTTACACTGTTGTTTCGGGTAGGGTGAAGGTTGGCGCCTGTTAAAACGTTTAAACCCGCTGCATTTGTTTGCACCTATCCTAAGTCAGGAACCTGATGTCAGTGGTTGTCGTTTGGTGATATGGTTCATAACTGTTTCTCGTTTCTCGTCTTTTATATAGATTAGACCGTTGGTTTTCCTGTTTGAATGGTTTTACACTAATCATTTTTGGGGCCTTTTATAGCTTGCTGTTCGGTGTGAGCCAAGGCTCCGTGTTGAAGGCCGTACTTTGACCTATAATGGTTTACTTTTATAAATTGTGACTTGGATGGAGAGTTGTCTCATTGGCACTCATACCACATCTTCTTATATCTATTCAAGAAATCATACAACATCTACTTTTTTTTATATAATACATGTATCAACTTCATAGTTGTTACAACAATCACAAATGAAAAAAAGACCAATACAATAAAATACATCATTTGAATAATCATATGATGCAGTTTTGCAAAAATTATACCTGATTTATTTGGAAATTTCGCATCAAAAGACACATTAAATCAAAATGCATGTATTTGTATCTGATATTTATATGTAAATATGATTATAATATCCCAGTTTTTGTAAAGAAAGTCTTTTTAATACTTTTTTGGGAACCAAAAAATATCTAAATGAAAACTACTGGTTTGAGCTTCATGTATCTTACTTGTTGCAATTTCATTACAAATAAGTAATCATGTTGTTATAACATAAAAATATTCATATGAAACTGTGATATATTGAATTTTTGAAAGATTTACTGGTTCCTTAAAGTTCTCTGCAATTTCATATAGAAATACTCATAAAAAAAACATCTACACCGTAAAATTCAGAAAGTGAAATCCCGTTCGCAATTAGATTTCTACAGGTACATTCAAACTTTAAAACCAAATGTTTACATTTATTAAAGAATTAGGTAAAGATTTTAAGTAATGAAATCCCTCACTTCATAATTTATCAGTTATAAAAGATTACGTTCATTGAAATCCAATTCATAACAAATGAGCTGGTTAATATACACATGCACCGTAAGTTGGGACCAAATGGACATCACAGTTTTAAAAAAAGGAAAACTAAAAATTTGGGAACGGAAAATTATATTCTTAGTATTGAGTTTCCTTTGTGAAACAGAAATATCCAAATCAAGAAAAAAAAAACATTTTCGGCTCTTCAATTTGGATTGTCTTGCCCCACGATCAACAGTAAATGTGGATATATTTTAGAGGGTCTTTAATTCATCTTTGCCTAAAACATGCGATATGGATTGTACTCATTGTTGAAGGCCGTACGGTGACCTATACATGTTAATTTCTGTGGTATTTGGTCTCTTGTGGATAGTTGTCTCATTCGAAACCATACCACATCTTCTTAATATGTTTATAAAATATTTCGGAGATTGTTTTAAAATTGGCCAAGCAGAATCAAAGATTGCTCATTTTGGCCATGATTTTAGTTTAATATAGACCAAATTAGTGGGCCACACTCCATATATCAGTTACAGTTGGCCAAGAAGATTCAGACAAGAAGATTATTTCCATAGGTTTTAAATGGAAAATATGTACCAACAACGCCGCTACGTATTTCGCCTTGAAGTTTCAAAGGAGCAGTTTTTGAAAATTGACACATCAGAATCAAAAGATTGCCTCTGGCGGAAATTTTTTTCATCATATCGAAAACAAAAGGGGGTCGTTTGTAAATAACAATTCATACATCATTCCTGCAAAGTTAATTTAAATAAGACATATGTTGTCATAAAATAAGATAAAAATGTGAAAAGACGACGGACGACGACGACAGACTAACTGATGGTAATAGGCAATGGTTCACGTGACTCTTAAGGCTGGATGAACAAAATGGTTAAAGTAACTGTTTCAAATGTAAATGATAAAAAAATAATTCTTACCACTATAGCTCTGTTCAGAATTGACCTGTCTGATGTTCCTTCTAAACTTATCCAGTAATCAACAATATTAATATCAGCTACTCCAAACATGTTGGCCTCGACATTTCCAAGATCTCCAACATGACGGATAGCATCGTACGGTGCTCCATGATTATTATTAAATGGGTTAAAATGACCCCCTGCACTGGTACAATCTACAAATTACATAAATCCTGTGAATATTGTTTAAAATAGACTGATAGATCATAAAATAAGCAAACACAGATATGGAAATTTGAACCAGAAATTTAAAACACTTGACACATCATAAGAATGATTATTAAACATAAATATCAGAAGATACGAAGGGGCACTGACAAATCATTAAGCGAAGAAAGAACGAAAGAAAGACAATTTGGCAAAAATACGACAAAACCAATTAAATTCAACCAAACACTTGACACAGAACTAAAGATTGACCAAGACGAATATCGCTTGGTTGCTAATTCTAAAGTCGATTCCAAATGTTTACATTGGGAGAAGAAAAATAAAGTCTAGATCACTATGAACATCATCGACCATCTTTTGTTTCTATATAAGATTTTTTTTCTCATTTAAATGATCATTAACAAATTAAGCTTTAACTAGGACCCGACGTCATGACACATTTAGAATTGGTATATAGAAATTGATAATGATTTGTTTAATGAGATACGAAGGATCCAATGTAATTAATCTGAAACTCCGCAAACAGGAAGTCGCAAGTCCATTCCTCGACATTACCTCTGTGGTTGGATTCGTGTTGCACATTTTCTACTTAAAAGAATCCAACAGTTTCGTACGACAAATGGGCGTATGTGCATTTTCCCTTGATGATTTTCGACGAAAGTGATTTTCCAATTATGCATTTTTCATTTGTTTGTTGCACCTGCATTTGATGTATATTTATGTACAAAATCTTTTTTTTTTCATTTACGAATTTCTTGAATAGAGGGTTGTTTGTGTATATGAATTTTCACTAAATACGACTTATCACCTGTTATGTTACATGACATGCTCGACACATCTAGTAGTATTAGCGAAGAGGAAACCCGTTTGCGAAGTTGCTAGTGCAGCGGCTACAAGCATATTTCAGAAGAATTGTGCACATCCTGCTACAAGCATGAAATTTGGCATAATCCTTCCTCAAGCATTACTCTTTTAATTCAGATATAAAGGCAATTGAAAAAAAATGTCTCACTTTCGGTAAAATCCAAAATGGCGGACGTTATACTTAAACCAGCCCAATATCGAAGGCTGGTATGTGAAAAGGTGTTATAATCATGCAACTATCATTATATTCGGCACAAACCTTTGTTATGTGCTACTTTTGAATACATTATAAAGATTATATATCTTTAGAAATCCTACTTCTGGTAAAATCCAATATGGCGGAAATTGTACTTAAATAAGCGTATGTTTTAGGGAGGGTAATTGAAATGTGTTTTAATGGATTGTTACTATCATTATATTGTGCAGGAACCTTTCTTTAGTGCTTCTCATGAATACAATATATAGGAAATATGTCTGTCAAACCCATACTTCCGGTAATATCCAATATGGTGGACATAGAAATATCAATGTCTAATTTTAATATTCAACTTTTTTCAAAATGTAAAAAAGTGTTTTTTGTGCCGGTCATTAAACTTTTGGCTTTAAGTTATCCTCAAACCACTAATTAATTTTTATGTTTAAAATGTTTTTATACAAAGTTAACACTTCTGGTAAAAAACAATATGGCGTAAATTTCAAACATGAGTACTCAATCTGTATCCTTGATGTAGAGTTTTGTATACTTCTACTTCTACTTTGTAGTGACCACCTTCAACACGTTGAAGTTATGTCAATTGTACAGTGAAAATCTAGCAATTTTATAATTTTAACAAAATTGATGATAACAATTTTACATAGTGCATGTAGTGGTAGTGCATATTTTTATTTTGTTGACTTTTAATATTAAGATAAAACTATTTACACTTGATGAATTTACTGACTGTAGATATACGTTGAGATAGATGCTTTGAACGACTCTATAGAGTCGCTCCTTACAGTACTCAGAGGAAGGCTGTTCCAGTTTTTAATTGTTTAGGAAAAATGATTGTTGGCGTATTTGTGTTCTGCAGGATGGAATTTGATATGAGAGTGTGTACATGTTCCGGAACTGTTTGAACGGTTTAATTAGTGTGTCTGTTTTTGTGATTGCGATGAAATGATATGAGATTTTATAGAAGATGACAAGGCGTGCATCTGTTGTTCTGTGTGCAAGGTGTTTCTGGTGTAGATTGATTAAAAAAAATAAAGTCACTAAAGTATTAGAACATTTTTTTAAATTACTAATATATAGCCGCAAATACATGTCTATTCACAATAACCATAACAAGCACTTAAAGCAGTGCAAGGGAGACCCGACTTTCCACGTTTACAACGACCGTAGCATCCTTTCTTACATCCTTAATGTACAAGCTCCTTACAAGATGATGAGGCCTCAGAAAAAGCTGTCTAAAAGGTTTCCCATTGATCATCTTTGTCCCTTCGCCATCTGTAAGTACATGGACTAGGTAGCATAGGAACCAATTCAAAGATTGCGTGGGAGACATGGATGGCATTTGTAGATGTGACTTTAACATTCAGAATGATGATTGATCAGCCTACATCACCAGATATGGATTTGATAATGTCATTGAAATACGTGGTTATGATGCACGATCAATCAAACTCATTAGATGGGGTTAACGAAGCAAGAAAACAACTGTTACATGTAGCGCAATTGAGAAGACTAATTGAGGCTATTCCCCCGACTCAGTCTAGTCTTTTCCATCATGTAAAACGTGCAATATACTAAGGCGGGTGTGTATGGGGAACGAGCTTGGAATTGGTTCCTATGCCACCTAGTCTAGGCGCTTATGGATGGCGAAGAGACAAAGATGATCAATGGGAACCCTCTTTGATAGCTCTTTCTGATGCCTCGTCATCTTGTCAGGAGCTTGTACATTATGGATGTAAGAAAGGATGCCGCGGTCGTTGTAGATGTTTAAAATCGGGTCTCCCGTGCACTGGTTTATGTGCTTGTGGTTATGATCGTGAAAAGACATGTATTTGCGGCAATGTATTAGTAATTCTAAAGATGTTTTAGGTCTTTAGCGACTTTTTTATTTTTTTTAATCAATCTATCCAAAACTCTACATCGAGAATACAGATTGAGTAGTACTCATCTTTGAAATTTACGCCATATTGTTTTTACCGGAAGTGTTAACTTTGTATTCAAACATTTAAAACATAATAGTGAATTAGTGGTTTGAGGAGAACTTAATAAAACTTTAATGACTGGCACAAAAGACACTTTTTTATTAATTTTGAAAAAAAAATGATTAATAAAATTAAACATTGATATTTCTATGTCCGCTATATTGAATATTACCGGAAGTAGGGGTTTTGAAGACATATATCCTATAAAGTATTCATGAGAAGCACAAAAGAAACGGTTTCTGCACAATATAATGATAGTAGCAATATATTAAAACACATTTCAATTACCCTCCCTAAAAAATACGCTTTTTAGTACAATGTCCGCAATATTGGATTTTACCGCAAGTAGGGTTTTTAAAGTCATATAATCTCTATGATGTATTCAAAAGTAGCACAGAACAAAGGTTTGTGCGGAATATAAGGATAGTAGCATGATAATAACACCCTTTCCCGTACCAGCCTTCGATATTGGGCTGATTTAAGTATAATGTCCGCCATATTGGATTTTACTGGAAGTGGTGCATTTTTTCAGATTGTCTCCCTATCTGAAATCAACGAGTAATACTAGAGGAAGCATAATGTCAAGTTTCATGCTTGTAGCAAGATGTGAACAATTTTTCACGAAGCCGCCGTACTATACAGACTTTCGAAACACCTGCGATTACCTCGGTGGTGGGGTTCGTGTTGCTCAGTTTTCTATGCAGTGTTTTTTAGACTGTTGTTTATCTCTCGTTGTGTTTCGGGGTTTTATGTTTGCAGTAGTATTGTCGGTCTCTATCGTCGATTAATGAAGTTCAAAGGTCTCTTTATGCCTTTTTGGTAGCTTCACATGTTGTTTATACAACTTTTTATTGATAATGTGCTATATAAAAATAATATGATGTGGTATGATTGCCAATGAGACATATCTCCACCAGAGACCAAATAACGTAGAACCTAACATTTATATGTCACCGCAAGGCCTCCAACATTGAGCAAAACCCATATCGTATAGTAAGCTATGAAAGGCCCCGTAAGGTGTCTTTGTTGTATTGTGTTGTTTAATTGATGTTTCATTCAATCTCCTTTATTCAGAACATTTGAGATAAAACTGATTTTGTCTGTTTTTCTTCGAGAGAAAAAAAGCTTGTGATACTTACTTTGTCTAACATTTCCCTTTGCATGGACATGAAAACCATGTAATCCTGGACTTAGCTCATAAATCCTTCCCCTTATCCACACTTTTTGGCTTCCATACTAAACATTTCAGATAAACAAGGTTAAATTCAGCATGAACCTTTCAAATCATTTGCCGAGTTCATTATTCGTTCAATTTGCTAATATTAATCATTATCGGCAATTTGTACATTTTCCCTTTGATCTTTCTGCCTAATATTTTTAAGATCATGAACAGGGTTGCGTTCAATATCGTAGCGGTTACATAGGGCTACGTAGATTTATGACTATTGAACGTGTAGCTAGCCTAGCTGCTACATAGATATTGATAGCAGCTAGGCTAGCTACTCGTTCAGTAGACAAAAATCTACGTAGCACTACGTAGCCGCTACGATATTGAACGCAACCCAGACTTGATATTCGAAAATATTAGGCAATGACGTCATGTATCAGTGCAGGAATGTCACGTGCTCAAGTCCATCAGCGTCATTTTATCAATGAAATGCACGCGACTTCATTCATCAACCGACCAACTGTCCCAACGTTTTGTACGCGTAAAAGTAGTTTTACAAACTTTTTCATTTTTCTTCATATTCTCAACCAAAAAAAAAACATACAGTTAAGACAAATTGCCGATAAAAAGAATAATGGCATTTAATTTTTTTATACTGACTTCATCACTCGAATAGCAGCTCGCACTAGCGTGCCCGCTTGATATTCTCGCGGCTGATAAGGTCAGTATCAAAAACAAAAATGCCATTATTCTATATGTAATATGCTTAGTAACTTACAGTACAGAATACCCCCCAGTTTTGGTGTGGTTCATATTGCTTAGTCGTCAGTTTTCTATGTTGTGTTTTGTGCACTGTTGTGTGTGTTTTTGTCGTTTTTCTTTTTTGCCATGACATTGTCAGTTGTTTTCGACTTATGAATTTGAATATCCCTATAGTATCTTTTAACGCGCTCATTTATATTTTGCATATCAAGCGGACCGTAGATTTTCTTGAATACGATTTTTGTTTTAGACTGAATGGTTACAAATTATAAAAAAAAAGTTTTCAAGACATTGAAAAAAATACATTTAAATCTTTTGAAGCGTTTTGTTAGCAAAAATACTGAAACATAAATATCATTAACAGAAATTTCTCATTCACAGTGAAAGGAAACCTCGTTGTTTAGTTTGAATATAACAAAGAACTATATCTCTTTAGTCCAATAGGAAGTATATGGACCGTTCAGTGATCTCTCAAAAACAGTTTCGATATATCCTTCGCCTTGGTCGGTACACTTTTCGGGTATGAAGATTGTACTTTTAGGCCCAGAAAGATTTTGGAATAGAGAGATAATGATTCGCAACACATGTTCAATGTTTCTCATCAACTGCATGACAATTTGTGACGTTTTATTTTTGTATTTTTATTTTTACTTCCATATATTTTACATTGGTTTGTATATGATACGTGTTGATAAAATGAACAACCCATGTACGTGTACCATTCTTTAAAAAAAGGTGTCGCTGCGCAAAACACATTCAAACTAATGAAATTTCATTATTTTTTCAAGTTTAACTTCCATGAATAATTATTAGAAGAGACAAACACCGTAACGGTTCCATCTGGCAAATATGTTCGATAACATAATAAAACGCTTTATTTTGCTGTTATCAATTTTCTTTTTTTGTCAAATGTTCTTATCGGATGCTCTTAGACAAAAATTTCACTTACAGTTAACCAACTTATATTAAAACGGTCATACATATTGTTCTCCTCTGAAAAATAATACAACTGATCGATGCATAAACACAATGGCAAAATAAAAGATAAAATGATAGCCTTTTTATATCGTTTTATGTAAACGCTTTGCGAAGGTTAACATCAAAGAAAATCACTGATGTCTAGACGATCGTTGTCCAAAAGACTTGCGTTTTGTTACACGCAACATTATTTTTCATTATGTTATTTTTCTAATAATTCCTAGCACTTTTAGAGTACGTCATGATATAACACTATATACATATGTATTTTCTTCTTACTTTCTGGTACAGGTTTAGCTGACCATATACACTGTTCTTGCTAGTCGGGTCGTATAAATTACAGGAAGCTGTCATATAACCATGATCTATTCAGGAAAAGAACATTGATGCAATTAACTTGTATTCTCAGTAAAATTCATAAATGAAAATGTTAAAAAAATACTTTTGTACAATGATGAATATTTTCTAGTCTTAGCTTTATCTTCTTTTACATAGCTAAAGCGTAAGCGTAAAAATATGGCTTGCAGTTTTATAAAAAACAAAGTAGATGTGGTACGATTGCCAAAAAAACAATAATCCACCAGAGCTCAAATGACGTGGATATATATATATATATAAGATCACTACGAATTCTACAGATACGAATAATAAACTATATCAATAATTTAAGATTGTGGCAATTTAGTATATTTTTTATCAAAAAAAGTTATTTATTCTGTAGGACGTTAACATTTTAGTAACAATATTCCTATTTTTCATGCATACTTTACTTTTTACCAAATATAGTACATGTAATTTGGTATATACAGAATGTATCAAACAAATGTGTTTGGTGCGGGAGACGTACATCATAATATAAACATTTGAATCATTAATTTACATATAAAACGATTGTCATATTTTATAAAAATCCTATTTGTCTACTCTAGAATAAAAACCAGGAAAAAATGATTATTAAAAGTCAGAAAGACTGGAATGAATTTCGTTTTGAAAGTGCTAAAAAAATAAACTTTAATTCATACATATAAATGAACTTTTAACTGACTACTTAACAAACTTTAGGTGAAGTAATATATTTTTTTCTGTTCAAATAAATGACATTGTATCAAAAGTCTTCGACGAATTATGTATAATAGCTGACTGGAATTAATTTTTGTTGACAAACTATGTATTAGGTTTTAAATCTTAAACTGCAAACATTTTTTAAAAAATGCACTATTCCTAAAACCTTTGTAATTGACAAATGTAGTACTTGCTTGGTTCAACACAATATATGAATTTAATTTATCTGTATGATTGTTCCTATCTGGAAGTAAAAGCCATGCTAAAGAGATGCGTCTGTTTGGCTATGCGGGTGTGTAAATACACATTGCCAGTCACTTTTGGTCGGAATGGGGGTGTTAAATTCAATGCCCCGTGAAGGGAGGGTACCATGCCCTCTGCATGTAACGAAAGATTGCAACAACTCTTGGGTGGTTAGTAGATGGTCTGTTTCAAGGAAGAAATCATTTCCCTATCTTGCATACCTTCTTTGAACAGTAGCAGTTAATATTTCCTTCCTTTTATATAAGCCGACTTTGCAGAAACTACATATTGTATTTATCGGATATTTGGTCTTGTCCTCTATTTGCATGAAATATTTGCTACTGTACGTTAAGCAAACAACTAGCAATCATTTAATATTTTTCTCTCTTTTCATATATTGAAAAAGCCATATGATATTCCCTCTCTCTATATATAAGGCATATTAGTATACCACTGATAAATACCATTGTAATACCAATGTTTCTTGAAGTCTATTGATGATTGTCTCCATAGATCGTCCACAAATTTTGCATTTGAAGGAATCTAATTATGACATCAGTTGGATAACATATGTGTTTTGTATTGCTCTTGAATAAGACGATTAAGCTTCATTTAGATACATACTGCTAAATATGTCATTTTTTCATAATTAAAAGACTCTTCGTCTTATAATATATATCGACATTTTGTGACCTAATATCATTTTTAATTTCAAGTACAAAATCAAAGCTAATAAATTAACTATAAAGTGTTACTTTCCTTTACCAGCACCAGGTCGATACCACTGTTCGTGGACTATTAGTCCCCAATGGTATCATCAGCTCAGTAGTCAGTGCTTCGGTACTGGCATGATTTATAACATACCTTTATTTAATTCTTCGTTGATGAATCAAGAAATAATTATGCAAAATAAACTACATCAGGCAAAGTTGACCTTTAAGTTAGATGAATTTGGCTATTCTTTTGTGTACCTTTTTGTCATATTCAGGTATTTATACATCATTGGCTTTCAAATGTTTAGGTCAATCCAGAAAAGCGTTTTGAACGTACGAAATGCATAAAATGTGATTTGTCATTTGCCTTTATTTTTCTGTTTGACGTAAAAACTTGTTCGTATTATTATTTGTTTAAATAAACATTTGAAACATCAGAATTCGAATGCAGTATAATATAAGAAATAATACTAAGTTTCTTAAATAAAATCATACTTTCAACTCAAAATATTAACAGCAATTACGACAAGATAACTTTAACCAGGGCCCATTCTTATGTGCCTCTCCAACCCATAAGCCTCATTGTGTTTCTCTTTTTTTATATCTTAATCTTGTTTGGTTTCGTAAATTTTGTTGTTGATTAAACATGATCTTTAATTATATAGAACTTTATTTTTTGCAAGATTTTTAACAACTTTTGTAAACTTCGAGTATAGCATACAATATAGACATCTTATGTTTTTGCATTCTTTTGGGCCGTTAAACAAGAGTTAAGTTTTTTATTGTTATTCGTTTATGTACCGTTTGTTTGTCCACTGGACAAGATAAAAAGGGGAAAGTTTGAGATCTCAAAACAACTATAGTTGAAATCCCACATGTTCGTGTCCCTGTCCAGAGTTGATGTTTGTCGTATTTAATCTATTCTTGTGTTGCTGTTTTTTGTCACAGTCGAGGTAAAGAGGACGGGAGTGAGGATACGAAAATTGGAACATATTCGTTGTTATATGTGATACAGATAGCCAATAACGATCAACCAACTCGTGATGACGTCCATGAAACTTCAACTTTACTATATAGAACCTTTGGTTCAATAGCTTGCTTGTAAGCAGCAACCCTCTAACAAGAAAATCCAGATAGGAAACGCAAATAAAGGAATCTCGTATCAACTAGGAGATATACCCATATGCAGGCGCTGCTTGAATGTTGCCATATAGAAATGTAAAGTTCACAATTGGAAAATTGAAATCATCCTTTCTGTAGAGATTAAATATTTCGTTCTCAACCGATCCCCATTGTCAATTTCTAGATCTAAGTCAAGATATAAGATATAATTATTGTATCTGTGGTATCCTTTTATCTAAAGCTAATTCGATGAGACAGGTTCTACAATAATCACCTAACTTTGAATCATTTAGTGATAGGACGAGATAACATAACCTATATAGCGGAACGTGAAGCTAAAGCATAATGCTAAATTCATTTTATTCTTCCTGAGAAGCTTATGTATGAAGTCTATCTAATATAAACAGGTAACAAGTCGACAAGAAAGAGTAGAACAGTTGGTTCCAAAAGGAATGTCGACTGTTTGTTGGCAAACATGTCCTCCAAACGAAACAAACATGTTGTCAATAAAAAAACAATCAAGCATCTTGATGATGTCAGATTCAGAGAATTATTTGTCATAAATTATGATTTATCCCTTACTTTAACAATATATCTGCATCTACTTTGACCATTCTTTTTGATGAAAAAGGTATTTTTCAATCTGTCTTAGTTTAGAATAGGGAATACTAGTGTAAATAGTAGAGAAGTAAAATGTTTTTAAACCGTTGCAAGAGGACAGATATTTATATTTATGTACTCTTAGACTAATAGATCTTTTTATGTTTTTTTAATATTCACATCTGATTAGGTAGTTTCACTTTAACTCTAATGCTCGGCTTGGCTTGCTAATGTAATTGATGTTAACAGCTTTGAAAGAAGTATCGTAGAGCAATTGTCAGACCCAGCATTATAACATTGTTTTTGTCAGGACACTTATGTTATCTTGGTAAAGAGGAATCCATGTGTAGGTTACCTATATGCCGCTTTATACCGATACTGTTTCAGCTGTTGGTTTGGTTTACTTTAATGGATTCTAAATCAAAAACGTAAATTACATGTTCCTTTTTCTGCACTGTACATGTATAACCTATAGCAATATTAACGGAATGATGAATCATGATTACACAACAAACGTTCTTGATGTTCATCGCACGTGTCACAAGTATGTTAAAAAACGTACAAAGGTTTATATTATTCAAATATTGAAGGATACATTTCAAACATTAATCAGCTATAAAATCCTGAATGAATTGTGCATTACAGCCAAATTTATATAAGGTGGATTACCGTCAAATCTTGTGCTGACATACAAAAAAAAAATTAATTAATTCAGCGTTATATGTAGTTCTATGCACAACTGTATCAAATCAACATTATATTGCTCGTTTCGTTTTGTCATGCATTCCGTAATATTGTTAAATCTTTAATGACATAGGACGAAACGTGAAATTATAAATCAAACTAATTCCGTGTTGACCTAGAATAATGTAATGCTGTCAGTCGTGTTCCGTTATATACCACAATAACAATAGAAAGCTGATAATTTACATCTAATAGTTAAAAATCTGGTGTACTTTGGTGACAAGTATTTGTAAACATTAGACAAAAACATGTACAATATACATATATATAAATATGCCCTTCAGGTACAAGAATGGACAAAAGTGAATGTTGACACTATTTAGTATTTAATGAAATTTTCAAAGGCATTTATCATAAGAATTTAAAACATAGATTATACATTACATGAATGAACTGTTTGAGATATTTTTTTCTAATTTTAGGTGCAAAATTATGAGAAAGAAGAATATACTTTAGCGGTATGGGATTTTCTGAAGTAATATAGTTATTAATTTAATTTTAGTTTCCTGTGTATAATTTGGAGTTTAGTATGACGTCCATTATCACTGAACTAGTATACATATTTGTTTAGGGGCCAGCTGAAGGACGCCTCCGGGTGCGGGAGTTTCTCGCTGCATTGAAGACCCATTGGTGGCCTTCGGATGTTGTCTGCTCTATGGTCGGGTCGTTGTCTCTTTGACACATTCCCCATTTCCATTCTCAATTTTATTGACAAGAGTTGAAAATTGTATCAAGCCTCGAACTATATATGTCACAAGGGCGGATCCAGGATGTTTTTTAAAGTGGAGTCGGAAACCCCCAAAACAGTATACATAGCGCCGAGTGGAGCGAGTTGAAAAAAGTTTTGGACAATTTTGTGCTAAGAAATCATAAATTTTCCA